CGTTATATGCTGACTCAGTCTTTAGGTAATTGGGTAAGCCTATATTTCAAGCTCTGTCTGGCAGGCCATTTATTTTTTATACAAAAGACGTGATTGGTTTTGTCTGTACAACAATTTCAACTAAAAAGAAAGTTAAAAGTTAGAGTTAAAACTGAATTCAACATCGCTTTATGAAGACTTCACCGATGTTTTATTATTTCTTGTAATGTGATGTAACGAATTACTCACAACACGTAAGGAAGATTATACCGACACATTATATTTTTTTTTACTTTAACCTAAGTTTAAATTGTCTATTATCTGTTGGGAATTTCATTGGAAGGGAATGACCTGAAATTGGATTTAGGGATTCACTTAAACATGTTCAGTTGAATATGTAAATCTCGCTTTTGCAATACGATTCCTTCTCACACTATCATTTTTCACAGAACTGTTTTATCAACCAATAATGTTTAACTGTTAAGCAAATTTACAATATAATTCCAAACCATCTCCATGGCCTTTCCGGTGACTTTAGCCAGTTTATTTTGAAAAATTATCCAACCACGAGATTTAATACGAATCCATTTTTTAGCTTTTTTTAGTTTTACGAAACTGTTTAGAACTGGAGTTAACAGTAATTATTCCATAGCAAGCTTAAAGATAGAAATTACAAGACTTGTGCATTTTCCAGCACTTTAAGACAACCTTTTGTGTTAGGGGAAGTTCAAATGACAAACATTTTCCTTATAACGACAAGGGTATTTGAAATTAAAATTGAATTTGATAACGGTTTCATAAACTCTAATAGATTGTATGTACATGACACCCCAATCTGCTCTTTAACCCCCTTCCCTGTGTTGTTCTCCCTCTTAAAATCAGCTTTTTAATTTTTCTATAAGTTCAAGTCAAAGCCTTACTGCTATCGTAACTGCGCTAAAACTCATTTCAACCTTGCATTTAAATTATATGTCAACTTATATAATAATGCCAAACATTTTATTAATTGCAACTTAGTCTACATTTTTTTGCTAGCCTCAGACACCTTAGGCGGGTTACACACCGGTATCGCGATATGATGTCGCCGATATTTCTGATGTCGCGGAAATGATGTCTGCGACATGTAATAAAATGCAACCATGAGAAGAGGCACGTGCTGGCGACATGAAAATGAAGGAATCACAACATTCATCAGTTTAAATAATGTCATCGTCAGAAGAAGATGATATGTTGCTGCTGTTGTTCTTTCTACAAAAACATTAAAGATAACTTCATGGTAATTTTTCCAAAATACATTGTAATTAATTGTATCTATTACAGTACTTACGTAATTTCCTTATGGTGTCAATTGAAGTATTATAATATCACAATACTACATTCCACACCATAAGGCAATAAAGTAAGTAAAAAAGCGCCAAAACTACTAGAAACGTGTTCTGCGCATGCGCGGGCCCAAGAGACACGAGACATGTCTGTCCAAACACCGACCGGTTGGTTCGCTCGAGACACGCGTCTGCGACACGAGTAGCAGGCAACGCGTCTGCGACACTGGTGTGTAAAGCTCCATAAGTTAACATAGGTTGGTTTTCGAGGGGCATGTCGCGGACACGAAAAATATCGGCGACATCATATCCGCGATACCGGTGTGTAACCCGCCATTGTCAAACTCGATCAACACATTTTATTTCTGGTGACAGAATTATTTATGTAAGTATGCAGCTGCAAATAGCCTGACCATTGACAGATGCACACAACAATATCGTCTGCTCAAACAACAGAGTTTCAACCAAGGAAATCCGTGTTAGCTTGGTGAACCGTGAAAATAATTCAAATCACCATTCACCAATGCAACAAATTGGATTAGAATTATGATAATCGCTTAGAATAGATTATTTATAGAGCTAAGAGGAATTGTTATGAATAGTTTATCAGTGTTTTTGAATCGTTAGATAAATCTATGGTCATCGTAATTTCTCATAACATTTCGATTTAGAGTTGTTGTTTTTTTTATTATTTAATTGATATCAGTAGTCTTGTAAACTTTTTAATGACAATAGTATTAGTTTTTTATATATTATAACGCATGATTGTATTTGAACAGTAGGGTGTAAATATGTTTTCGAATCAGTATTCGAAGTATTTGTTTGAAATCCGTTATGAAGTTTAAAGTTAAACTACAAGTGAGAGATGTCATTGCACTTTGACCTTTGGAGCAGAATGTTACTTGGTAGACATTAGCGTCATACTGTTTACAAAGTATGAAGGTACATTTCATATTGGTTTACAGTTTAAATTCTGTAGTAAATAGACGATTTGCCCCGTAAAGATTCTGTTATAAATTGCATATAACCTTTTGATATTTAGAACAAAGTAAATAGAACCACGCATGTTGCTAAACAAACATCAAGATAGACATTGCTGGGTTCTGTGTATAAAACAGACAGTACAATTCTGGAATTAAACCCTTTGTGGATTGCAGGGAGGAGTGACCACACTTTAATCATCTAATGGGTTGGGAAGGGCGAAGTAAAATGTGCCGTGCATCCAGGTCTAGGTCTGGGTGTGGGTTATCTTTATCACGACCACAAAACGCAAACCAACATTCACTAGAAAATATAAAATTTATAGCTATTTTTCTCGGAATCAAGTATATTATTAATTGATAACGGCATTCACAGTCTTTGTATAATGAATACCATGGTCCTATATACAACGTTAAGTATAATCACGTTATTATAAATTAATACGAAAGTAATTGCCGTATAATCAGTAAGCTATATAACATAAATCAATGCGCTTTGAAGCTTTAAAAGTCAGTTATTCGAAAACTGGAAGAGGTTTTTTTTCTAATCTCCATCGAGCAAGATATTTCATTTGATGTCTGGTATGTGTAAATATTTATGCTTAAGTGTTTAAAACTTACAGAAAAATAGCAAAAGAATACCTACGCTTAAATTTTACTAAATGTAGGTTAATACATTTTTCAACTACAATTTAATTCTGTCCAAGAGAAATTCAAGTTTACGAAAATATCTACTAAACGTGTCTCTCCCTTTGTCGTAAGAGAGTGCTGGGGTTCAAAAATCTGGTTTAACATGGTATTCGTTTGAAAAACTGCATACAACCTAAGTACTAACGAAACAATTACATATATAAATTACATTTCAATTCACAACCTTTAAGTTATATTTTGTGCTTTTGTGTAACATAAAATACAATTGCACAATACCTAACTTGCCATTGTATACTTTTGAATGAACTTTTTGACTTAAATCACCCTTATTTTCGGCATGAAGGTAAACAATATGATAATAATTTGCAATTGGATTATATGGTATCTTAAGTGTTGTTTAACTAATTAAATTAATTTGCTTCTTGATATTGTTAGTTGCTTTTGTCTTCATTAAGTTTAATATTTTTCACTTAAAATATATTATATATTTCTAATTACTGTTACCGACCAGATGAAATAAGTATTATCAATGGTTCTAATTTTGCAAAAGTGACCTTACATGTTTTATCTCATTGACCTATTTATTATTAATAACCTTCGCATGTTCGTAGTCAACTTTTACACTTTGCATGTATATTGTAACCTTTCTTGACTTTTTCGCAAGAATTAAACATAGGTTCAGTCTGTTTTCTCTCCTTGTATTAAATTCGCGTATGCGTGACCTGTTCCAGCCGAATTGTGTCTGATGGCATTCAAAGTCACGTGCTCCATCGCCTCAATAACAGCTGATTTGGTGGAACCTGTAATCAGCTGTCGCAACTAAAATGACATCATTCAAGGCCATCTTAATATCATATGGTTATTAGAACGGAATTAAAAGTATTAATTATTTGTAATTCAAGTTTTTTATGTGGAAATAGTTATTATTATTTCATATTAAATTACTTATATCATTCGAATACTCCGCAATTGAACCGATTTTGATTCGTAGACACAAAATTTAGATGAAATCCCCGGAGAATGGGAAATACAAGTTTAACACAATTTAACAATATTTATTGGTTACTATGTCAAGTAATTTAAAATACACAAAGGTTTATCACACTTCCACTGCGTCTATTCAAATCTTTGTTGAATATTTGATTTTCCCTGCGCTATCTTAAAACGGGTTGTAGTACATTTGATATATAACAAATGCCACCTCTAAAGGACATCACTTTATGAATGAACCAACCATTGGGCGTATTGCTGTATTCCAGCCGGAGAAAAATAGTTTATATAGGTGTTATAATTTCCATAGTTATTCGTTCCTTTCCGGTTATAACTTCTCGGACCTAATACATATATAAGTATTTGTATTGCAAAATATGTCACAAGAAACAACAGCCCAATCCCTACTACTGTCTCTATGAAATGAAATGAATTCTTCTTTATTGAGGTAATTTTAGGACCTCATGATCCTTTCTTACAGTTAACCTCTTCTTAGTTAGCCTTTACGAACACTTTTGGCTATGTAAATATTCAAAATTCATTTCCAGATACTGTCTCAAGCCATTTTTGCTTTGATGATCCCTCGTGTACCTGACATAGTAAATTTGATCTAAATCGAGTTTCTTCTCAATTGCAGTTTATTAACAGCGGTGACTTTTGAGTTTGACTCCCTCCTTTCCTGTCCCTATGAAGCCCTTTTCCGTTACGAATGTACATTACACTTTTAACTTGATCAGCGTTGTAAAATGTACGGGTAGTTTTTTTCCGTAATACGTACGCATTAATAGTTATAGAATGCGGGTTCTGGCCCAAGATGAATCAGAGGGGGTACATGGTGTAGCATATCCTGTGGAGTTCAGTCTTTGCTTAGCTGATTTCCTACTTAACCTGAAATTTCACATTATTTCCTCCATTTATGTTGGTTTTCAGCTGTGATTCGACATTTTTATCCTTCTCTACCCCTAACCCATTTGGCACTCAAATTCACAGTACATCAACAACCACATTGTCAACCCACTATTTGCTGGGTTCCCATGTATCATGCTCTGGCCTACAGTATGTTTCTTTTCTGTTGCAGTTGATTTTCAGCGGCGAGTACACCAAGGCGATGAACAAGGACTGGCACAGCGGCCACTTCTGCTGTTGGCAGTGCGATGAGAGTCTCACTGGACAACGCTACGTGCTGAGGGATGAACACCCTTACTGCGTCAAGTGCTACGAGAGCGTGTTCGCCAACGGCTGTGAGGAATGCAACAAGATTATCGGCATCGACTCTAAGGTATCAGACAACTTTCAAATTGGTTTTTAATTGTTTAGGAAATGGCGGAGATTATTTTTATCACGATCATAGATAACGTTTAAGGATTTGGAATATGATAGAGTTTTACGCAATACCTAATAAGTTGGTTCACGAACCAAGTCAGAAGGATACATTTGAATCTGTACTTCGAGTTCACCATTTGGCAAGCATGATGATAAAATATTGATGGTTTACAAACGCAAATTAAACTTAACCTAGCTTTGACCTCATCTTCCCGTCACCAATGAACTGTGCTTTGACCTGAAAACAAAGAAAATTACCGTTACGACTTATCATATGGGCAAGCCAGTTGTGACCTCTGTGGTAAGAAAAGCTGGTGACCGGTCACCAGCAATATCTGGTAGATCATCTTACCACTAATTTACAATGTTGGTACATGGCACAATTGTTAAATATATAGCTGTACCTCTAAGATAAACGAATGATACAACAAAGAAATGGAATCACTTCAATCAAACTTCACAATCACTTTACGTTGACAGCTTAAATAGTACTACCACTGGTTTGAAAACTTTATCCTAAAAATCCTAAAAATCTCCTTTGGCTGAAAAAGTTATTTGTGCAACTAGTGTGCGAAGTGGCACTTTGCTGCACACGAAAGAAATGTTTACGCACGAGTCGTAGGCGAGTGTGGAAAGTTTCTCGAGTGCAGCAAAAGCAATTTGCACACGCGTTACACATTATATTTTCCTACTGTTATTACAAAGGATATAAATAATTAGTCTTTTAAACACCAACCAACACGGTTTAGGTTAGCTTAAATCCAAACGTTGAACGAAATGGGAAACACTGCACCGATTGTAGTCGTAGTATCTTTAAGTGTTACCAACTTATTTTCAAGCGTACACGGATTGCATGCCTAATAAAAGCACGCTGTTTTGTGAATTGTTTGTTTGGAATACTGGAGTGTGGAAAAAGAGTTGGAAAAAGAGTGCGCAAAAGTAAGTAAATGCAGCAATTGGCAACTTTCTGTACTATAATCAGTGCAAGGAAGCCCACTTTGTCAGGTGACTGTAGAAAAAAAAATCATTGGTATAATTTTTTATTTGAACATGTTTGCAACCGTGTTGCAGGATCTGTCGTACAAGGACAAGCACTGGCACGAGGCGTGTTTCCTGTGCAACAAGTGCCGCGTCTCTCTGGTGGACAAGCAGTTCGGCTCCAAGCTGGAGAAGATATTCTGCGGAAACTGCTACGACCAGCAGTTCGCCTCCCGCTGCGACGGCTGTGGCCAGATCTTCAAAGCTGGTGAGTTTTCTATTTTTGTATGCCATCCCTTTCCATCTTAGGACGCTATACTCTAGCCCTCAACCATTTTACATGCTACTTTGGACAAGGCTTTGAGCTTTAAGGAATTATCAACATGGATATAGTTATTTGTGTAACTAGTGGTGAAAGTGGCACTTTGCTGCACACGAGAGCAATGTTACGCACGAGCCGCAGGCGAGTGCGGAATGATCTCGAGTGCAGCAAAGGCCTTTTTCACTCGTGTTACACATTATATTTTTCCTACAGTCACTATAAAGCATATAAATAATTAGTCTTTCAAACACTATATCGTACAACACGTTTTTAGGTTCAGCTGGCAACACAAATGGTGCTTTAGAGAAAGTAGTACCCGCGGTCCGTATCACTCCGCTATTTTTCCTCGGCAAGAAATGTGCTCCGCGTTTTGAGAATGTAGTTCCGAATGTTTTTGTAATTTGAAGTGGTTTCCGCGCCTAAAAAAAATGCTTCAAAGGTATTTTCTTGTTTATTAAGATCTTAGGAATGTTTTAAAAACGTTTAAAAGAAAAGTTCAGAAATACCGAAACTATAAACACGAAATGACAGGTTAAATCGTAGTTATAATAGTCAATCAGCTGCTCATAGTATTATTATCTTTTAAGTGTTGCCAACCTATTTCCAAGCGTACACGGATTAGGTGCATAATAGAACCACGCTGTTTTGTGTTGTTTCGTTGGAATCCTGATGTGCGGCAAAGTATAAACCGTACGGCAAAGTATAAATATGCAGCAATTAGCAGCTTTCTGTACTATAAACAGTACAAGGAAGCCAACTTTGTCGGGTGACTGTAGGAAAAAGTCATTTGTGAACGGCGAGATTTTATCCCAGAACCTCCGGGACCGGAGCCTCGAGCTTTATGAGGTCAGTTCACTCTCTCAACGCTAATAAGTAACATATACAGTTGTGTTTTCATTGTAATATTTACTTGACTACAAAGTGGAAGTTACACATTTTAACTAAACTCAGAATGGCAATTTAAATATCACTTGAGCTTACACTCTCTGATCATAGAAGGATTTGAAAAAAAAAATATCCTTAGATTATCCGTTGATTATATAGGAAAATCTTTTTACAATGCTCACATAAAAAATGGAACTATAATGTCCCAATTTTCGCTCTTAGACTCTACTTGATCATCCCATGACTTCTCGCACATGCCTGAGACCCAAGAGGATGAGAAAATTCAAGGTTGAAAATGCTCAAACCTTCTCTCTTTAAGATCAAAAAAGTTTCAGCTTTTGCTGTATACGAACCATCCTAAAGTAGATATTGCAAACTGCAAGTAAACTTGATCATCTTACTGTCAAATTTGAAGCGATTCGATGCTGAAGTTTGGTTCATGTACGGTTATATTTACCAAGGAAGTTAGCAATTAATTTACCAGAAGATAGACAATAGTTTGTGAACATATTGTTATAAACATAAAGTAAATAATGAACAGCTTCTAAATATACCGGACGGACAAATATAAAACTGTATTAGCTAATCTGTTAGGATGATACATCGCTAAGTTTGTTTGATTAGTACACTAGCTACAAAGTGAGGTGGTTGAAAATGCTGTTTTCTTTGCAATATACCAAGTTCCCCATGTTTAACTAAAAGGGCTATTTTGGTAAGTAATTGCATCATCTTGACCCTATCAACTATCGTAATGTTAAAATTAAAATAGAAAAGGACTTAAATAGTTGAACACCCTTAAGATTCATTCAGGTAATATCGTTGGTTCGAATAGCTGACATTCAGCCAATGGTGCCAGTTATGTACAATTTTCCTTTTACTTTCATGGAAATTTCAGTTTAGAAGCTGAAATATTAATTGAAATCCATAAAGAACTCGCCTACGTTATTTTAGCAATCAGCATGGAAGAAGCAAGAAGCATGGAAGCCTTACTACGGAAGCCTTACTACGGAAGCCTTGATATTTCGAATTAACTGTTTCTGACACAACTGAGAAGCAATTTTAAAAATGTCAAACCTATAAGTATGAAAAAGAAGAACTTATTTGGTTCAAATAAGGTTCAACAATGAACATTTAAAACATTCATGTTTTGTCACATTCAGAAACAATCACATTTGTACATACATTTGTACGCGTGGGTAAAAAACCCCACCCCGTGTGTCATCTCTTATAGAGATTTGAATGCATATTTAATTACCAAGATCAAATTGGATATCGCCATGACAGCTTGAATTAGAAAATGTAATTAACCTTTTCGATTTCACTTTATTCTTTTCTGTGAATTCGGATATATCATCCATTGAAATAGAATCGCGACGTACGTCAGAGATTGTAAAAATATACAAAAGAAACACAAAAGTATTAAATGTCTGACGTGCGATTGGGTAAATGTCATAGGATTGTGAGCCGATTGCAATTTAATCACTCGCTTATTGAGAGCAACTGTTCTAAGAAAAATGCCGAAGTCTGGACCCTGGACAGGACGTTGTTATTGCTGACTTTATTACCAGACTATCGCGTCATTTATAGTTCCAGACTTTAATCGATCGTTTAAAAATATATTTTTACGTTCGCACTGTTTTTTCAGCTTACAGACATCTTGAGTGTTCGTAATCGAATGTAATGTTGATTCGTGAACATTTTATATCAGTAAACATTTTATGGATTAATCAATTTGTTGAATAAATGTTTCACTATGAATTAATTGAGAGATCGATAGTTAGTTTGATCTCTTTTTCGTCTAGCGCAAGTGAAATTTAGCAAAGACAAAATTTATAGATGTTCGAAAATAGAAAGCGGGTAAAAATGAAATTAATAATTCAAAAGCTTTGAGCTTCGAAAAAAAGTTTTAGCCTCAAGTTCATAATTTTTAAATATCCCGAAGCTGTATTTTTACATTACAAATCAGTGCTCTTAAAATTCGTAAATACAGTATGAGCATAATTTATCACTGGGGTGTTACACAACCAAAAGGATTTACGACAATTTAACTTTACCAACAAGTTATTTTAAATAAACCCGTCATGTAAAAATACATATACTGGATTTTAAAAAGCAGAATACAAACCGGTTAAAAATATTACATATTCTAAAATATATGCAAATGACAACAGAATTAACTTATTTGAAATGTAATTCTGTACGAGAATGATTAGAAGCATCGTTGAACGTTGAACTAATAATTAACACCGTATGTATTTTTTATTCTGTTGCATTTCACCCTGTAGAAAATTTAGAATAATATGTAACCAGTACACAAAATAATACTATAACTAATACATTTTTCAGAGCTTGAAGACCTGCTGAAAGAATACAAAATTACAATAACAATGAGACAATCTGCTTTTTCAACAAACATCAATCACAAAAAAAACGCATTTTTCTTTACCGATACTGTATAAACGATACAAAAATAGACACATTATTCTTTATAAGCCAGCAATTAAGATACATTACTCATAAATTTAGATATACTTTACTGTCAAAAAAACCAATACACAAAATGATACAATCTGCTCTACCGACATTCAACAATGCAATGAAAGAGCAGTCTGGCGGATATCTTGTGAACTATGCAGAGCTTCAAATGTGCTGGACTGAGTTTCAAAGCATGTTGTCTTGTTCTTACTGTATCGGCCTTTGAATGTTTCAATTACATTTAACGTGACCGTTGTTGTACCAAAACATGAAATAGGTAAATAAAATTTTACTTAACAATTTAATTTGAGTTGCTAGTTAAACTCCTGTGTACTACTCGCTCTTTTGCACTTTATACCATAAACCAACAAACAATATACAGCAATATAACGCATTTGGTGTTACGAAATCGTTTGTAGTTTCAAATGATTGTCGACTCTTTGATGTTTTAACAGCCTTGCCTAGGATATTGAAAACCTTGAGTAACAAAGGCTGGAGTAAAGCCAGACAATATTTAACACTTGAGTGTTTATACTTCAAGGTGTAAATTGTCACATAAGCTGCTAAAAGTGTTATAGGATTTCTTAAGTGCAGCAAATGCACTTTTGAAAACCCACGTCCATTATGAATACTTCTCCTATATTGGTTCATTTGTGTAACAATATCATTGTTTTCTTAAAAACTTTTGGTTAGTCTTTGCAATTTCGCTTTTCTTTCTTAGATCGTTTTGTCGATGAGTTTAATAATTGTAAAAATGCACGTGTCTTGCGTTTCCTATTGCATTTTTATTACTTATAGCTTAAATATTCCATGAAGGCATGGTATTATACAATTGCTTAGAAGTATGTTGGAGTTTTAAACTACAATTTATTTTTTGTTAAAGAGGAATTGCACATTATATTTATACGTATGTGTTATATTTTTCAATAAACACTACATCAACTCCTGCATATATTTCTTTTTGCTTTTTGGCTACCGAAATTTCATCGTAGATTTTAATGTAGGAAGTTTTTAGTCGTATACAATGTTTTCAAGTCAATACCGTTGACCGTCTTACAATATATCTAGAGTACTCAAACATGCATTCGGTCATTTGACCTTGTTGGCTGGTTAATGCACAATCGTAATCAATAAATTACTGAACAACTAACACCATTGTTAACTTTATCATTCGTTATGTTGGTTCCTAGAGTACAAGTGTTATTAGTTTTGTGGCTCAAAAGTAAGAAGAAAATCCAACACTATTACAACACTGGATGTGTTATTTTCAGCGGATGGACACATATTACCGTGAAACCAACATCATGTAAACTGACACCACGACTACTTATTCATTAACCACTCCCTACTCTACCAATGTTGGCCAGCAAATTGCGCACTCGGGACAGCTTATCAGCTCGGGTGACTAATGATCTAGTAGAAGAAATATTGTGAGGGCTTCGGTTACAAGAATAGATATTTGTTTCGCAATGATTTCGAGAAAACTGCTTACGAAACACATGTGTTTGTAGGAGGCGGTTGCGTCTTTAGTCTCTTCAGTCTGTACCACAAATCCACAAATCTACCGCTGGGCCTTAAGAAAAACC